GCCCCGCCTGCCGCAGTGAGGGCGCCCTCTGCCGGCCGTTGCCCCGGCCCTGGTAAAGGCCCGTCCGTCCCTGCCGCTCTTTGCCAACAGAAGAGTAACGGGATCGTAGGTAATCGCCGGTTGTTTTACAAGCAGAGCCTGGCTTTTGATTACTGCCCGTTACACGTCCACCTGCTGCACTTCCACAGAGAACAGGAGCACCAGCCCGCAGGCCGGAGCTCCGGTGAGCAGCGCTTCGCAGCAGAGTTGGCACCCAGCAAGCCCCTGCTCCTCAGGGAAAACCCTACTCCCCAGCAACTGCCTTTCTTGCCGAGAAATTAAACTGCTGTGTAGGCGATAAAAGTTGCTCTACAGCACCCTTCTGAGACAAGGAACAGCCTTTCCAACTTTAAGTAAAAGCAGCATATAACCATTTCAGGCAATAAATGCTGAAAATATTCAGGGGAAAAATACCCTTGAAAGGCAGGTACCAGCCACAGATGGAAAAAGTGAAATTGATATCATTATCACAATGCTGAAGGGACTCTTCCTCAGATATTGCGAACTGCATGAAAGGAAGCCACCTGCCAGCCAGGAGCTAGTACTTGGGTGACAGCACCCCTCAGGCCCCTCTCTTATGAGGGTTACAGCAAGGGCTGCGCCAAGTACCTGTGGAGGAGACTGTGGCTCAAGAGAACACATGCAGCAGTGTGGGACTTGTTCGGGCTCCCCAGGAACTGTCAGCTCTCTTCTGCTTTGGTGTGGACAGTTGGTTCAGGCTCGGCTGGCTCGTGTCTCCCCTGATGGATCCCTGTTCATCCTTGCCTGTTCCCAGGCACTGCACTTGCTCTGCAGGTGGAGAGGGAGCCTTTGGGAACCCTGGAGGCAGGTAACTCACCCCTTCTGGAAACTCATGCTTCGTGCTTCTTTTTTCTTTGTAGTTAGTATCCAGTTTTCTTCTCCCCTGCCATCATATGCAAGTTAATTCTACCCTCTGTTTCCATAATCACTGTGTCTCTTCCTCCTGTAAATACAGGACCGTGGCAGCAGTTCTTGGAGACGAGAACAGTAGTTGCTAACATAGGAAGGATAATGCCAACAATGAGGCATTATTTCCAAGAAACTACAACAATCATAGCATGAGGAACGCTGCGCAGCAGACAGACATTTCAGCTATTCAAACCCAATTCTTAGCTTCAGTAAGAAATCTGTCCATAGGAAATCAGATAAAGGGAGTAGTTTAAGTTGCATTTTATTAGACAGAGGTGGATTTGATACATGTTATATCTTAATTTTCCATTCTTCTTGTTCAAACATGTTGAGTGTACAGGCTTCCCATTTTTTAGTCAACAAAGAAAAACACATTGCACAAAGCAGCTGCATTCAACAATACAAGATCTGTATCATTATTCACTTGAAGACTAGAAATGTGCCCAGAAATTTTTCAATCATTCAGTATGCTAAAATATAGACAATAAAAAGAGTTAGTTACTGTTTAATGGTAAAATACATTAAAAAAATTTGGGCAAATCTAGAATGAAAACTCATGACTTCCTTCAGTATGGCACCACTCTATTGTTTCATTATAAATTTGTAAAAGGCACCACACATTAAAACTGTAAAGCAAGGGAGAAAACAAAACCAAGCAACTTTCCATGATATTCTTTCTGTACAAATACATATACATCTTAAGGCAGGTGTTTTTATGTGCAAAATACAAGTATACAGGTAAAACCAATGTTGGTATATATTCTCATACTCACTTCTTTTAGCAGTAACATTGGTGTCCAAATGTACAGTACATTGAAAACACTTTTCTCTAACAGAGCTCAAAATAGAAGGCAGGCTGGAAATATGGCCCTGATAACAATTAGGTTTTAAATCTGAAGAGCTTTTATGTAGACCCCTTTAAACATGTACAAACAGTCATTCTCTTTTTCTTGTTGTCTCTTCCTTTAGAAAGGTCCATATCAACTTGTTCACTATGTCAGGTTGATCCTG